GAATTTTCAGTAAAAAGTATTACACCACCCCGTTGTACATACAGTAAATATAACAATATTAAACCTCGTTGTCGACACAAATAGAGGAAATTACATTGTCGTTTGTGATAAGTTGTGTTGTTTTTTTTGTTTGTTTTATTCCATTAAGGTTAGAAAACAACTATTCAAGTTATACGGGGATGAATTAATTAAAGCAATTAAAAATTTCGAGTAAAATTGTATGTACGTGTTGTAAAACAAATGTAGTTAAATGGTGGATAAAATGAAAAGCAAGTTTTCTCCAACTTTGAGAATTTCTATACATAAGCATGCACTTAATGATTTATTTTATGTTGTACTCGTAGATTGTTATTGTCATAGGGTTGAATTATCAGATCAACGCATTATACACGTAAATGATATATACACACTTACACTTACTAAACATACACTATTTATATTGTATATATCATTTACGTGTATAATGCGTTGATCTGATAATTCAACCCTATGACACATTCCCCCCGGTTAAGAAATGGCGTCTCGACATTTAAACAGTATATACAAGGCAATTCTCAGGACACGGAAATCCATCTTCTTGCAAAGAATATGTTCATCGTAATGCATGATTACTGAAACTAAACGTCTGCTATCATATTGATAAACCGCAATATGTAAACGTCAGTAAACTCGATGTTCCGCTTAAGATACAATAAAAATGCATCATCCTGTATTGATCACAATTCATAATTATGTAAAAGCAATGTCATATGCAAACTATTTGATGTTCTGACAATGGTAAGTAGTATATTCACGCTCATCATATCCGATTTCAGAATGTATTATCATATCCGAGTTTCAGAATGTATCATTAATACATTGTTCTGTGTAGACAACATTCATCGTACAAACTATTTTAATACAATGTATTCCGTTCGGATTTTTCAATTCGTTTAAACGTACTCCATTAGCGTGTAGCAACATGATTTCCTAATCAGATGTACATATTAGAGAGCTTCCAAAGGTAAGCATTTGCTCCATTATGAATCATCATTGTCTTTGCTCAGGTAAGTATGAATAATGAATATTATTCCGTCACATCATCCAAAATCATGGTAAGTATTAAATTTATTCACATATTATAAACACTTGTCATACACGTACAATCCATTTAATAATATTCATCCATGTATGAAATACATAAAATATGTACATGGTAAGTATCCTATACACTGGAAAATGCACACATACAAGGTAAGTAACTTATTTACAGCAATTGTAAACTTTTCACACATCATAACAGTTCTATTTGGAATGTCAACTCAATGTAGGTAAGTCTTTATATGATTGTCACAATATAGATGTCTTCCATTTCAGCATAGATAAATGAGGTAAGTATTTAGTTTGAAATTTATATCTTGTGAAGAATACTGGTATCTCCCAGATTGTTGAAGGTTTATAAACTCTTCATGATTATTGAAGCTTCAATGTAGTGACCATACGTCAATAATCCAGATAGCTTATGTATTGCTACCACTGTCGCCGGCCTACTCAATGGGTAATGATAACGAACGCACTGGGTTGGTTCGACAGATTCTATTATATTTACATGGTAGATACGCTCCTGTAATGACATACATAAACAATAATAAGACACGGAAAATACAAACAATTAGCAATACAAATCCAGATCAATTGAAATACAATACACAATTACATATAAGGCATTAAATACAAACGTTTACCTGAAGATATATCAATAAATAACTACGAAAAGGATGATAATAGTTTTTAAAGCATAAATGGCTGTTTACATTTGTTTTCAAAATATGGCGGATATCGATTACTCGATAGTGATTGGTTATTGATTTGTTATTGATAGAGAGGAGGTTAATCGAAATAAATACAGTAAAGAACGAAAGTATAAGGAGGTCTGACTACACTTACTATAAGCTACCACTACATTATAAACTATCTACTTTAGTTTGGTGTTCAAATTATACTTTATTATTATGTAATTATGAATGTTTTATATTATAGTTATTAGTGTATGATTGATCTTAATGTAGATACGTGTATATAATCATGTAGATAAGGTACTTTTATAAATAGTGTATGTTTAGTAAGTGTAAGTGTGTATATATCATTTACGTGTATAATGCGTTGATCTGATAATTCAACCCTATGACATTATCACACTATAACTTAGACTTAAGTTTTTTCAAATGCAGAAATACCGCTTCAAACAAATGGTCCTCCTTACGTTGAGTTTTGAAGGCAAACAATAAAAGGTGCATTATTTTTTGGTGACCCCCGATGTCCAACTGTATGCAAATACTATAAATAATAAATCGAATCATCTTCTGATGAAATAATAAAGAATGTCTCATGTCTCTCAGGGTAATAGTGCATATAAGTAACCCGAGGTGATTATTTTATTTGTGTTATAACGCAAAACTAAAGGCGTTATAAAGCCAATTTGATACAATATTAATACTAGTAATGTAAGAAAGGAAGAACAATGTTGATATAAATAAATTGCTCAAGACATATGTCCGGTTTATTTTCAATTCTCTATGGATATGTCCTGATAAACATACTGATGTTTCATTAAGATACTTTAATGTAATTTGAACAGTCTTTTACTTACTAAGAAGACATGTCTCCTAATTATGAATTAACTGAACCACTATCACCCTTTTCGGCAAACCTTTCATACAATTAAGATACACTTTCACTCTTATGTGACTACCCAATTCCTTTTTTCCAATGTTTTCCAAATTGTTTACAGATTTTTAAAAAATATATTCTTATTAGGAGACACAATCATGGAATTACAAGAAACTATCAGGTTATAAGGTACATGAAATTCTACATATCCGTTAGTAAGAAGATAAGATACGATAAAATATAAAAAAAAATATTTACTATAATAACAATTAGAAGTGTTACCAAAGTTGATCAGCCTGCCAGGTACTTGGTACAATCACGTGACTAATACGTCAAAAGGGGTCAATGACTCCTCGCGTGAGTATGCCACAATTCCGGTCATTAATCATAAGGGAGTGTCGTTAAGTCAGCGTGATGAATTTTCTATTGATCAAGGTAATTTGAAAATAACAGGTTATTAAATAAGTTATGATGACACAAATATGGCTATAGTTTTTATTGGTACAGTCTGTATGATCTATCAAATCTATCAAAATGTATTTACCACATGACTGCTTTGGAGTCAGAGATGCTTTAACACGGCGACATATCAGATGAAATAAGTTAAGATAGCCTGACACTGTTGAGGTAATAACGGACGAGACAACAATGGAACTTAACATGAGGATTATCTTCATTATTTATACAGAACTTTTGTCTTCAACTGTTTTTTCCTATGAAAGACAAATTCACTTCAAAACAGGAAATGGTCAATCCAGTACGAATGTCATAAGCTGCGGTGTACAAAAAGGCGAAAACAAATACGTGGCTGTAAAAATGTCCCCTGCCGCTGAAAGTGAAATTTGCCATGGTTTGGAGCATGACTGGTTACTTGGTAAACATTACGACGATGGCTATTACTACGCCGAGAAGCAAAAAGTTGTAGAGAAATTCAAACCTCCATATTCGGTAAATTATTTAAATATTTATTTATTAATTATTATGTATTCATTTGCTTCATGAAATGAAAACATGGTATCTGAAGAAGTTTTAAATGTATTTAAAGAATTAACGTCGAGCATTATAAGAACATTATAAAAACACTAAAACCTTGGATACTTATTTTCTCTATTTAATCGTCACATCAGCGTTGTTTGTGCCGTGTTGAGGCTGTAAAAAGTCGCCCCGTACATTCAATCAGGGATGTTATATTTCTGATCCTTAAAGATCGTTCAGCACGACATTATTGTTGTGCTTGTGGTATTTTAGTTCTTTCTATGCGGCTTTTTTCTTGTTGGGTGGTTCCAATATTCCTCACTAGAATACTGTTGAATCACCCTTAGGATATGTAGCCTGCATTTAAAATTTGTCTTTTGAAGTCTTATCTGTGATATGCAGGTTTCATCACCTCTGATCCCCTTTCAAAATTCCATTTCATTTAGTTCCGCCCATTGTTTTCTCGTTTAGGGCACATGCATTTTTTTACTTGGGGACCATATGCCGCTTTTCATGGAATGGCACTTACGTGTCACATTGAAGGTTCCATGATAAACGCCATATAAACACATCTGCGGATGTATCAAAATTCAAAATTGTACCAGTTCATGTTAAATGTTGACTTCTGCTTAATAATCGAGAAAGCTACTCTATTACGGGCAAGACAATTCAGATCGCAAAAAGCATTTAATATTCTTAATAGCAAATGATGATCATGCGACAAAACGATACGGTAGATTTCTACCATGAAAACCTGATGTAAAAAAGAAACAAAAAATAAAAATGTTCTAGATGCGGTATAGTACATACACAATTTCAAAAATCTCCAGCAAAAGGGAAAAATGCAACAACCGCGTGAAATTTAACAATTTTAAATTTGTGAGTGCATAAAGTACAAAATAAAATTTTACGCAAAATGACAATCTACATTGATAATTATAGTGAATAAACACACCTGTTGATAAGTTTTATTTGTCCAGACCAAACTGCGTTTTTGTTTCATTAAAGCACGGCCTATTTCAAAGTGGACACTTGGTCACAAACATACATACTGCCTTCAGCTCAGTATTCATTTTTGTCATCTTTAAACAGCCTTGTTACCACAATACAATCAGCTGTCATCCTACACATATGGGCATTTGCCGGTGATAGGGAATGCCCTTTTGACATGCAGTCATAAAGGAAATTCGTGAGAACTACTTTCTTTGAAAAAGACAGTAGATCCAATGTTTTGTAAAATATGTAACCTTAAATGTTATTCTATTACTAATGCATTGTAGTACGATATTAAAATAGTTTTACTTCTATGCAGCACGACCACTACCCCGCATTCGGACCCATTGCAGCCAGTTAATGGCAAACATCGTTTGTTGAATGTTCATGATTATGCTCGCAACATAAAAACGCAAATGTGTTTGTTTTTAACAAGAATGTAGTATTTTACCCTTTAAATGCACATTATACTTAATTTAACAGTACTATACTGTGGTGGATCTTTAGATGTTATAACTGTGTCATTAGCATAAAACATTCGAACATTAGGAAATTTTTCATGAAACACATCAAATTCATTACTAGTCATAGAAAACTTAGCCCTCAATGCTGACGGTGAAGTTGCTAATCTGATATTTTATATAAAAACACATGAAAACATGTATGAACCTCCGACAATCAACTAAAAAACTTATTGAATTATTAAAGATCTAATTTAACTTAAAGTCTGGTATTGAAAAAAAATCAAGAAATTTAAAACTTGAAAAATGTTCTGCAGCTTTGCCGTAAGACATTATGGCCCTTTAGGCCCTTGAATGTTTTGTTGTTGTTTGTTGGCATTAAGTTCCACGGTACTTGAAAAATTATACGGCTTCTATTCAGCTTTACTGGGGAAGAAAGATCTAATATGCCCTTCGTACATAATCTAACGCAAAGGCAAACTAGCTAGATGGGTAGAATTCCGTAATGTAAAACTTTTTGCTAATTAGATCCAAATTAAAAAAAAAACCAATCATTTTAACCATTTCCCTCATATAAACGTGTTTTGACGGCTTTTTGTCCCCCCACTTTTTGAGGCCTCAAACAGTGAAAAAAAATGCCCTATTTAGGCCCCAAACACTGTTTTTCGTTTGAGAAATGTTGTTGAAAAAGTGACCACTTTTTCCGCGCGGCCCCATCAATATGATACATCAGAGAGTTGCCAGATGGGAGATGTGTCACCTTCTGTTTGGGGTGTTTGAAAGTTACGGTAATCCCCCTCATCGCCAAGAAAATTTTGGACATGTGAAAGGCTAAAAATGACCTCAGGTCGATCTTAAGGTGACGTGTAACAAACGCTGAAAAGCCTTTTTCTCTTATCTCATTGCATTGAGAAGTTGCAGCACTTTGAAATTAGTTTTGATGGAAAAAACAATGCAAATAGTATTTTTTCGCAATTTTGAGACGTCCCCTGTTGCCATGGAAATTTAGGATTAAGCATGTTGTTACAGAGGTTATGGTTCAGTCAACATATGTGCCAAGTTTCATCAGTATTGAAGCATTTTTCATAGTTTTATAGCAGTTGGAACTTGTTACAGGAGGCTTTTCAATGAAAACGGCCATTTTTCACAATATGCTCATTGCTCACGGGGTAAAAGTTTAATAGCTAAAATATACTAAACATTTTTATGCAAAACAAACGTTTTTTTCTTCTTTTTATATTTTGTTCAGGATAATCCATTATCAAAAACTTCCTTTTAGCTAAACATGCCATAACTTTGAAGTAATAGCTAGTAATAATATCATTTTGACATGTATATTTAATGTAGATCTTCTGATCTTAAAGACGTTTTCGGTAGTTTTCTGTGCGCATCGTTATGCGCATCCAAGAAAGATAATCACGGATAATTACTCTTCAAATGAAGGTAAAGTTGAATAGTATTCGGATAAGTTTTTAAATTTCGTCTATAAGCAAATAATGAGTAAATAATACTGAATAGATTTTTCTAAATGTTCCAAAGGAGATTGGTTCAAAAGAATAAGAATCTCGTTTAGACAACATCACATAAAGTATTTCTCAAAGCATTAGTACGACAGCATTGATGAAAATTCTGCGCGCGTTACCCCACCCACTTGTGGTATAGTGACAAAAGTGCGTCGCGACTTGATTACTGGCAGACAACTGGGCAAAGAAGTTTAAAATGATATATTTTAAAAGTTATGAATAAAAAAACAAAATTGATATCCAAGAAATGTTCAGAATTTCATTATTTTCTTTGTAAATTTCTGAATACTTGCTTACTGTTCGGGTATGTTAGTCGAGTGAAAAAAATAATATGGCCCTAGATATGTTTTAAAAAAAAATTAAGTATCATTTCCTTAATATAACATCAAAAGAAAAAGAAATTCTTATTACAACATGTTTTATATTTGACAATACATTTAGTATTACACTGATATTTCTTAAGAAAGCGTGGTAATTTTGACAGTTGGCATATGCGGTAACCATGGAAACTGCCCGTTTAAAAAAAAACTAACACTTCAACATATATATTTTATTTCTATTTTTGAATCCACAATCAAATGTTACTTGATATATCATTAATGTAGAAAATTCTATAAAAGAAATTTCTTGATAGCTTAAATTTTTTACAGAAAATTTTCATGTTTATTTTTCTCATTTTTTGTTTGTAAAAAAACATGAAAACTCATTTTTAAAGAAATAAGTCCAAATTATCGTTTGTTTTTATACAGAACCCTAAGATAAAGCAAGCTTTGTATACAATTATGTTTATTGTGAGTGTAATAAGCTATTTATACATTATTATAATACAGTTTGGATATTTTGACAATTTTGAGATATACGGTTTCCATGGAAACTGCCATTTTTCAAACAATCCAACACGCCAACATATATTTTTCTTTTTCTTTTTGAATTTGTCATTCAATTTTACACAATATACAAAAAAAATAGAAAATTCTATGAAACACTTTTTTCAATATCTCTAATTATTCTGAGAATTCATGTTCATTTTTCTCATTTTTTTGTTCGGTTGAGGAACATGGAAAACTCATTTTTTAAAGAAATATGTTCAGATTATCATTTGTTTCATACAGAATTATTAGATAAGGTTATCTTTGCATAAAACAATGCTCGTTGTGTGTTTTAAGCTATCTTATACATTTTCTATTCGTTATAACACAGTTAGGCTATTTTGACAGTTTTTAGATATACGGTTACCATGGAAACTGCCATTTTACAAGAAATCCAAGAGGTCAACATATATTTTTCTTTTTATTTTTAAATTCGTCATTCAATTTTACTCATCATACAAAAAAATTAGAAAATTCTATGAAAGGATTATTTTTTCATAAAACTGTAGAAAATGTCTTTAAATAGCAGTTTTTGATATTCTTAATCTATTTCAGATCATCCAAAATGATTTATATTGGGCACTTCCATCTTCGTTTAAGGCTGGAGCCAACTTAATCGTCTACATCACAAGCCCAGTTTCCTTCAACAGGTGGGTAGTTTCAATAATACACGTTACATCAATGTTGTATTTTGTCAATTTCTTATCGTATTGAAATGAAAATAGTGACATATTATCTACGGCAAATGAGAACAATAAACATAACTTATTATCTTTATTTTATATATAATTTATATATTTGATAACACTTTTGTTTGTTCTGAATTTTCTACTTTTATGAGCGATGTTATATCAAAGTTATTGTTGATTTCAGGTTTGAAATTAACCTTTATGACTCTACAAAGGACGATCTCCCGCCAAATCCACCAGGATCTAAACCTGTTATGTATCATCTTTACTTTCGAACCGACGGGGATTATGCAGGCGTTGATACATACACACCGGGTGGAGGTTGGCAGAACATTGGTTTAACAACAAAACCAAGTCCAGTGCAATCTGGAATAACTTACAATATAACATTAGAATCACACACAGAATTCATCAGGGTAGGTAGAAAATTTACTGGTACCTACCTATTGTTCCCCTAGCCACATTAACAAAAATGTTCGCTCCGACGGACGTGCGGATGGATGGATTAGACATTTAAAAAATGATATTGAACAAACTTTGGTTAAGGACAAACGTTGATGAATCTATGTTTCAGTATACATTTATATATATATATTAATCAATAATCAATTAACTTAACAAAACCTTAATATCTTTCAATAATTGATCTAATATGAAGGCAGAAAGCCCAGCCAAATATCGAAAAAAAAAGTATGACAATGTTTCACAAATAGCTTCACAATGGCGTACATTATTCTTAATAGTATATGAATTTTGCAATCTAAATAAAGCTCACATAACTTAAAACATAAAGCATTGGGTGTCTTTTAAATCGCAATAAAAGCTTCATTTTTGTAATCATAATTATTTAATTAGATAGGTTTTTAGGTGAAAATTGAGTCAAATATACTACCACCAAGTCGAAAGTTTAGTTCTGTGTTAATTACATTCCTTCACCATACTTTCATTTCAGACAATTATAGACGGTATTCCGTACTTCGATCTTCCACATGTCACTCCACCAGTCAATGCTGCAACTCTGAGAATACATTGTTCTACGACCACGCCTCTTCTCGTTCATAATATCACTATGAATGGCATTGTTTGAAACCATTGTCGCGTATATTTTCTATATATTCAAACAAAATGAATGTCTTTATTGATCTTCTCATGTAGTATTTCATTTTTTAGGGCTGCATTTATCCACATTTTTGATAATACCGGACAGTCGAAAAATACCGGCTATTAAGGACTTAATACGGATTCAAGGTAACTTGATCACGTGCTTTTAAATGAAAATATAATCTTTGATATTTTTGGGCAATATTGACCTTACACTCATTAATTTTGGTAGTGTCCGTATTTTTATGATTTACCCTTACGTAGTTGCAATTTCAAGTCTTCTGGTTTGTTTTCATCATTTGATTTTTTTCTGTATATTATACGGAACGCGGTTTGATAAAGTTTCATCATTTTGATAAATACATTTTTTTATTATTTTTTTATTTATTACAATATGTGATATTGTACAATGATTGACAAGCATTCATAAAACATAATGGTCAAATTAAGTTTTGCAAAATATATAAAAAGAAATCATACAGAAAAACATAAGAAAAAAATCATTTGATTCGAACCTACTTATAACTGAAAGTCTTACACATTGTCACCGATGTTAATATGTCTATTTGGTATGCCGGTAAGTTATACAATTACCGTTTACCGTTTTATCATACGTTGAAATCCGTTTGGTTTTCTTTGTAATTACCGAAAAAAGGTCGTTTCATATTCAAATGTCTCAAAACAATAATGTAAAACGAATATATAAATATTGACATCCAAATGAAAATAAAGTTTATGATTGATAGACATAATGTACTTTCGGTTTCTACAATCATGATAATAAGTATATAATGTACTGTTTACTATTATATCATTTGGGTTGACGTTCACTCGATATATTGGAAGAAACAACTCCCATCATTAAATTACTATTTGTTTACATTTTTTTTCTTAGCGTGAGTTAGACCGAAATACCTTATTCGTTACTTACTTGTGCGTCCGAGGTTCTTGTCCGAAGTTTGACGGAAAGGGCCGAGAAGTTGCGATTAAATAGCGGGTATTATTGTTTAGGTTTATAGACCCAATTTTCATGAATATATTCAAACTCTATTTACATCTTTAATATTTTAAGTGAATAACAAAAAGTAATTTACACATTGCAAGCGGCACTTATAATCCACGTAAATTACTAAAAATAGGTTTTGTTGTTTGCTGGACTGCTTGTCGGTGGCCTTGTGTTGGATCCTTATTTTTGTTTGGGGATTCGTTCATTGAGCCATTCGCCCTTTCTTTCAATATTTATTATAAAAAACTATTGCATATTGCATATTTATCCGAAAAGTGAACTACAAAAATGTATCTGAAAATTGTATACTAATATAAACAAACTGTAAGATATTCATCCAACATTTAGTCAGATATGTGTATAAATTATGTAATGAATCCAAGACCTAGAAGTACAACTGCAAGTACCAAAACCGAACTCAAACAAAACAGAACTAGTTCATCTTCGACGAAAAGAAAGGTTTCTTCACCAGAAGAATTAAATAACAAAGGGAAAAGCACAAACTATTACAAAATAGCCAATCCACAAAACAAAACATATATGAAAATCAATACTCCTGCAACTACAATGTCGCCTAGTACAAGTATAATGACTGATATGATTACTAATGGAAATTATCCATCTGTGAGAAACACAACGAATGAATACATTTCTACAGGTTTAAACCATGGTAGTGCAGGGTAACAAATGACGATGTTCCCCCAACAAGTTTTTATTACGGGACCAACGATGATTTCTCATATGCTAAGCGCACCATGCCCCATATTATGTCATCACCTTAAGGTACTTCGACTGGTAAACCTGGAATTATTACTGACCAAGATGCTGAAAAAAAATGTGAAAAATATTGTAAAAGAGGCACTTAAAGATGAAATTCAAGCATTAGTAAAATATATGTAGCAGAATCCACTGTAGAGATGAAACGTGAAATCAACTGTCTTAAACATAAATTGAAATCCTTCTTAGACTTTAATAAAATGTAACCTTAAGCATGCTTTATGAGACATTAAATGTTTATAAAAATGTATATATTTTCATGCATGTGTTTGCTTATGTATGCTTTATTGTGTATAAGTGTGTTTTTCATGTGTGTGTGTGTGCGTGTGCGTGAGTGTGTGTGTGCGCGCGCGTGTTTCCATGCATGTGCAATGATAACATCTTGCTATTTAGATTATATAATATTATCTATATATATGCTTGTGTACAAGTGGCATAAAATATGAATTAAACGTGGATATATATAGGTATAAAACGATTTATAACAGATATAGAATATGCATATCGTTGTAGAAACTTGAATTACATGACTTATATGTTAAAGATACATAAAAAAGAAATAAACAAATATTTAAATTATATATATATACTTTTGTACAAATGCATTAAACATAAACACATTGATATGGATATGAAATCATATATATAAAATAATGTATTACAAAGATAAATTATATTCAGATCATTGATTTTAATGTTATTCTCAGAATAAAAAAAATTTCTTTTCAATCCACATGTTACATAAAGTGTACATCCATATAAAACATATTACATCATGTCAATAAATTATGTAATGTCAAGCTTCTTTATGTTGTACAAATTCCAATTGAATGCAGAAAATCATCTGTTTGAAATATACATGTCATTAAAAACATTGATAGTGTACAAATCTGTTAAAAGCTACATGAAGAATTATTACAATTTCAATCACAAAAAGTAAAATTTGTATTGTATTTTATCTTCTTTAAATATACAAAGTTTAAAATGCTCAAACATAAAATGTAAGAGAAACAGTAAAGCATAACATTTTGATATAAATAATAAAATGTGTCAATTGATATACAAAATATAATGAAGTTTTTGAACTATATACATGTATTTAATAAAGATATAAATAGATACACAATAAGGAAAATTGAAAAAAAATACAATAAATTTGTTTATCTAAGTGAATTTTTTTAAAACTTCAATAACTTATATATATAAAATTTTCATTGTCTGATGTTTGTGTATTTGTATTTTACATTTCATGTAATATCTTCTTCACATGAATATCTATTTGAAGTGTTTCGTACTTAAATTTGTGATGAGTTTAATTGAGCAGATATTGTGTAATTTCTCTTCTTAATGACATATTATGATAAAATTGAATCAATCTTTTTTAGATGAAATGCATATTTATAGTTAACAATATATATATACATGTATGTGTTTTCATTTGTAAAGTAACGTGATATTGACTATGAGTGAACAGATTGTCAGCACATTCTAGAGTAAAATACTTCTGTATCAAAAAATATTCGTGTCAAATTATTAACTATTGTTATATATAAGATGCTTTATAAAATCAATAATCATTATTAATTACTATTATTATTTTGATAACCTAATCACATCACAAGCCAATAATAATGGAAATATTTTAAATATTTATCTTTTTCAAATTAGTTAAGTTAAAGACATTTTTTATTGAACTATGGTGTGCTGGGACTTAGATAAGTGTATTGTATATATAAATGTACAAAACTGCCACTGTTTTATATTTTTAAATGTCTAACTGTTTTGGCTATATTATAAATGTTTTTTTCTCTCTTATTTTTACACTGTTTTCTGTTTATACATTAATGAACACTTAGACTTGCATTGCATACATTTTAATTGTTTACTTTGTCTACTACTCCTAACTTATAAAACCCTTTTTATTTATACATTGCACACATGGTAAAAAGTTCCTATTTAAAAGACAGAGTCTATGTAGTAAGATGGTATTCAGAATGCTTTACAGCGGTTCTTCTTCTTTCTTTTTTTAATTAAAACTTACAAAAACCCTGTAGAGACTACATGTATTTAGTTTGACCAACACTTTAACCTAAATAATATCATTATATTTTCAAGTTTTGATTGACCTTTTTTAGTGTTATCCAGAAACTGAATTATTCTAAACAATACAAAAAGTTCCGTCACAATGGAAGCTTGCCAACGTCTGTGCAGTATACGAGTACAAGAAAGGTGACCTTACCATTGTTTCTAACAATAGACCAATATCACTCCTTAGCACAGTTAGTAAAACTTTAGAAAAAAAATATGCATCAACATATTTTCAACTTCTTTGCCTCAAATAACACAACAACTTCGTTGCAATCTGATTTGGTTCCAAATGTCTGCACATCATTCAACTTGTGTCTATATATAACACATTTTGTTAAGCCCTTGATGGTGACAAAAATATAAAAAAAGATGAGTCAACTGGAATAAATGGTGAGTTATTAAATTTGTTTCGCGATAAACTTTCTTAAAGAAAACGTAAAGTAATACTTCCTGACGGCTCATCTCAAATTGCTTCAATCACAGCTGGAGTGCCACAAGGGTCTTTCTTGTGTCCGCTCCTTTTACTCATTTATATAAACGATATTGTCCATGACATAATTCGTGAAAGAACATCTGTTTTCAAAAACATAAAAGAAAGCTCTTTTTGTATATATGGTGAGAACACTATTTCTTCCACTGTCCCATGTATCGAGATAACCACACTGCCCTTACAAATCACAACTGTTACTTTGAATAATTTACTCTACGGCGATAAGAAAAAGGACCTTTCAACTCCATAGTAGTAAAGTGACTTTCTTTCTCTTGTTTCCTATCTCTTCTTCTTTGCTCTTATTACTTTTTCTTCAATGCGCATGTTTTAATCATTATTTTTTTTAACGTACTAGTAAAATAGTTTAACGCTAAACTAAGCAATGTATCCTTTTCAAAAAAAAATGAATTCTTACTCTTGCTTATACCTCAAATCGAACAGTAATGGATCTTAAATTTAGTTCATGAATACTTATTATAAAGATAGTATGTATACGTTAGAAAGCAAGCAAGCACAAGTCGATATGATATGTTTAGTTTAGTTTATGTATTAATATTGTGTTACCATTTATTTAAAATTTGTTAAATACTGATTACGGAGAGAGTTTCATAAAAGCTTTTCAAACGCTGTACCGAATCCGTAAAATTTATTTTATGCACCTTATTATGTTAATGTATAGATTATAAATAGATATTGTTTTAACCTTATTGTTGAAATTTCAGAAAGGAAATTACAATGTAAATCTTCTAGGTCATACTGTAAGGTCAAACAAGTTGACATTCTGTAAGGTCAAACAAAGTGACAATGATTTCTTTTTCTTTGACAATGTATATCTAAATTTTAGTACAAATGTACAGAGTCTTATATTGTTTTGAATAAGACACATCATTACTGAGGAAAGAAGTGATTTATTTTGCGAGTCGTCAATAAAAACACCAAGTACAAAAAAAAACATTCACATACATCAACTTTACCCTTATGACCAATTTCATATTTTTAATTTCTGGCTTTGTTGGCAAATCATTATTAATTTACATTTTCATCAAATGGAAATACTGTAATGTTTTCTTAACTCGTAGAACCAGGTTAAAATAAAATCACAGGTAAACATGTTGTCTCAACTTAAAGAAGAACTGTTTCGCATTTGGATAAAACGCATCGGTGTAAGAGATGTTGCATTGCATACAACATCTAAAATTTTCAATATATCCATTTGTTGACTTTAAGAATTATATAGAATTAAAAGACTGACCTTCTTTTGATGTCCTAAATGTTACTTTTTTATAAATCTATTTATTTGCACTAACAGTAAGTTAACAAGTATATTGATAGTAACACAAAATATAATACTGTAAAAGTGTATCATAATTGTTGTACAACATCAAGCAAAGATTAAGGAAATAAAGCATTTATGTTAATTAAGAATTATTCGAAGTATCAAAGCGTTGCCTCTTCCGATGAATCGAAAAGAAAGAAAAAAAAGATCTTAAATAGATTTGATAGATAATAAAAAAGATAACAAGAGGGTTTTTGTTGTTGTTGTTTTTGTTTAAATTTAGTAGAACCATATTTGTTAACGAGCAATATTCGTTCTGGAATAGAAATAGTTACATCCCCATGGTAAACCTAATATCTCCAAATCATCTTAAAGTATGTCTTGCCTTGTTAATTTGAGTTGATTTCAGTTTTAAATATCAATGCAATCGGAGGAAATATCTTAAAATTATAATTATGAAAATATTTGTCTAATTAATAATCCATTATTTGATATTTGGAACTAACAAGTCCTGTATACTAAGAAGTTCTTGTTCCTATAGCGCACAATTGTGACTATTGCAAAACTGCTCTGTTGGAAAGCTCAGCTGACTAAGCAATATAGAAAGGAATTCCCGAATATATAATGTAAAAATGATCTGCTGCAATGTTCAGCTGGCAGAGTAATCTAGCAGTGCATTCTGTAATAAAATGTAAAAAGATTCCGCTGGAATGCTCATCTGACTAAGCGATCTAGCGGGGCATTGTTTAATATGTGCTAGAATGTGGGACTGGCAGAGCAATCTAGCTGAGCATAGAGTTAAACTACTCTGCTAGAATGCTCAGTTGGGTAAATATTCTGACAGTGCATTCCTAAATATTATGTCAAAATGCTCAGCTGAATGCTTAGTTTGCTGAGCAATCTAGCGGGGCATTATTAAATATAGTATGCTATTTAATTATACCTATGAAATTTGGTGCTTAAGCACCCACTATTGCTCTGCCAGCTCGGTATATATCTTATACTATATTTAAGAATTCCCCACTATATTGAGTATTCCAACAGACTCGTGTTTACACTATATTCTGGAGTGTTCCGCTAGATTGCTCTTTTAGGTAAGCATTACATCAAAGCTTTTTTACTCTATATTTGATAATGCCTCGCTAGATTGCTTAGCCAACTGAGCATTCTACCAAAATATTGATTCCCTATATAAATTGTTATGCCTTTTTGCTTAGCTCACTGCTAACTTCTTAAATACAAAATTAAATTGTAGTGTTTTAAATACTGTAAGTACTGACATATTCGAATACTGAATCCTAATCTCTGAAATGTTGTAAAAAAATAAATGTTTGATTGCTTATTATGCCTATAAGAACATTCTTTTCCACAGACTTTGGATAACTATTCCCTTAAATGGCCTTTTCTGGGGATAAAACAAATGTTTTAATTAAAATAAAACAAGCATTCAAACGAGACTTTTTTTATCAGTACTTTACATTAGGATGAAAAGAGTGCAGTAAGATTTCGCAAATATCATATCACTATAGCTACACCAAATGGTTTAATGCAGAAGAAATGTTGCACGTGTGTCCTCCACGATTACAGATTTATTACATAATTACCATTGCCTTTTCAATACCATAATATTGATCTCACTCTTATCCTTTACAGTAACATATCAGTAATAAACCTCGGATTGATGTATTATCCTTACAGACATGAGTACAAATAAAAATTCAAAAACAAAAAAACAGAAACAAAAATGTTCCCACGTGTGACAAGTAAATTCGTAATTATTTTGAGAATACATCTTTAACTTTTGTTTCTAGATATATAAAGTGCCTCATAGCCTATTCCTGAATGTTTGATTTTTGGAACGGTCATACGAAGGGTAAACAATTTACCAAGTAAATGCATTCATGTTTTTCACTCGAAAAAATGGCCAACAGTGTGTACTTTATTTACTCAATTATCATTCTCTGCAATACCGATACTTGTTTGCAAATATATCTTCTTCCGTTGGGATATATAAATATCCAAGGGCATCTTCATGCACAGCACTGTAAATACTGCACGGAAATTTTATATCTATATTTAATTTGATGTTCATTGATGTTTGAAATGAAAGTCATTATGCTTGATTACGTAATTATTGTGAAAATATATTAAATTATTTTTTATTTAACGCTGCAAAAGCACAACAGTAAGGAGGAGATTCCATGCATTCATTGAAAATATTTTCTTTGTCTTTTATAGCAAATTGAAAGAAAATATTTCTTCTGGAATTTAAGTAAAAATACCAATTACAAAACTCATTCGTAACAGAGAAATGTAATTTTAATCTTATTGACATTATAAAGAAACAAAAATGTGTATGCATGAAATGTTTTTTCCCTTAATATATCGCGTATAATTACAATTATGCTAGAATATTTATCCTTTTTATATATCAGCTTTAAGATGTGGCTGGATTGTCTTATCAATAATCTAAATAATCAGTGATGAACTGTACATACCCTTCAGAATAACATTACAGAGCTTTTTAGAAAATGAAACAATGATTAACTATTCTGAAAAAATGAAGAAAAAAAAAGAAAAGAACAATAAAAAACGTTGTTAGATATTGATAGGTATAAAATGTATGACAAACCGATTCTATGTAATAGGCTTAGTCATTATGATATCTGAATTTGGTCATGTTTAATTTGGCACAGTTTTATTACGGTTGTCGTTTTAATTCAGTTCACAAGACGACCTAATTTTCATATATTTATGCTTACTGCCTCATAAGACATCTTTATCGTTTGGTACATGTCAAAATGCACAATATATATAAGTAATATAGACACATTTCATCATCTCAGTGCAATAACTGGTTAACTCCTATTTAGTATTAGATTTAGAAGACCTTCATGCATTATTGCACTAAAGTGACGAATTATCTTAAAACAAGCCTATCTATATTTTTTATATCATAAATATGATGCTCAAATTAAGATTTATCAATTTTGGAAGTTCCAAAAAAGCATTATTTAACAGATATTGCCGAATTTAACATTTAATGTAAATAAAGGGAGGTTATAAAAATTATATTTTCTATAAAGTCTAAGTCAAATTTGTCAATAAGAAATTAATGCATATGTTTTAATGATTACAAATAATATGTACAAATATTTGCAGTACTCAATCCTCAATTACACATTACAGGATCTTTAATTAAAACAATGAATCAGAAATGAATTACAACGTTTGAATTATTTGAAAATTTAGGATACTTTGATTTACCTTGACTGAGAATTATTGTACCTTATAAATTACTGATAAAAACGAAAAGTTTGAATAAGTTACAAGACCACCGATGCATCGGCACCAATTGTTTTACTTGTCATAATTCATGTTGTAATGATGGATAATAACTATTAACTTGCTGTTTAAAATGTACTGTTGACACTGCCAAATTGGTTATGAGCAAATAATTACCTTAGTTTCAGCTTCGAAAACAGCATAATTTTTTTTGATATAGCCTAAAATCATAAGCAGTTGTGATAAGTTGGTGTTGAATACTAAAACGCACGTACAGAATTGCATAGTAACACAGAGTGACCAATTTTATATGTATTGGAAAAAGATGTAAAAGGGTGCGGGAAATAGTTATTTCCAAATTTCTATAATAAAGTCACCTTTAGATGCTACGCTACTGTATTGAATATCTCAAAGTATGGTCGCATCCTACTATTTAATTGTCAGTTTTACTTTGTGTTATACTGTTCTGTGATGTAATGTAAATATGACGCACCCATTAGTTTCGTTTAATTGACATTTAATTCAATGTTTTTAACAAAAAGGCAACATTAGGACGTTCTGTCGGTAATTAATAGTTAATAATGTTTTACTGACACAGTTGATAATGATGGCATCTAATTACTTGTCTCTAATGTATGCAATAAAAAACTGGGAAAGGGGAAATTACCCGGAAGAAAGCAGTAAAACAAGAATATTATATGAAAATTATATGCAGACCCGGTTTGATAAGGTCTGTTCATAAGAGGTAATGTAAAAGTGCAACATCTCTCATACCGTCTAGCACCGGCTTAAGCGGTGTCTTCAAAACTAACTTATGTGCTGGTATCAATACTCCTGATGGACCAGAACATTTTTTGCAGCTGCCACGCGGCTCTTGACTATTGCTGATGTGAGGTATATAAAATTTGGAAAAATATGGTCATTCCTCGAAAGAATTTAAAAAACAATATTATATGAAGTTGATGTTCAATTGTAATCTAGCCTATTACGACATGTATCCCATTTACATGATCGTCGAGTACCGTTGTATCATTAGAGACTTGCATTGTCAGGTAGTTATCATGTTATTTATAGAGTATTGCTAGTTTTACTGACGTCAGTAAATATAAATGCTATTAACCTTTTATATATTTTAAAAGATTAATGCTATTTTAAGAATCACCTATGTCGAGAATTCAAAATATGTGACATTGATAAGTGACAAATATTATTTGCATTATTATTATTATTATTTGCATTGCCTGGTGTAAAGGTTTAAGTTTGTATTAAAAGAAATTTAACACATTTAGATACCTTTCAAAGAAAACAAAACGTTTGCAGGTCCCTCAATGGTTAAATAGCATCATAATTTATTTTGACAACTTTGTTAATATTTTAACACTGATGAAATATAAAATAGTCAAACAATTTCTGCATATAAAGGATTTGATAACATTTCCTAATTATAGATACACCGTATAGATATTAAACAATTTATAGTGCTCATCTAACTTTACTTACGGTGCTTTTCTATATTGTTAATAAATTTATATAAAACAAGTAATGAGACTGAAAACATTACTTTTACTTTTGAGATATTCTATTATATCATTTTATTACATGTAATAAAATATCTTCAGAAAATTGATAATAAGAAGTTACAATTAATATTGTTCTTATATCTTAAGAAGCAGGGAAAAGTATGTTTTATGGTTCAGCTTAGTATTCTGCAGGTATATTGCTACTATAAAGCATTCATACAAACGTTTTCCAGTTCTGTCCATGAACATGCTCAGTCAAACTGTTTTGACCTTGCAATATTTTTTAAATTTTACCGTTTTGGACGTTCTTTAGAATTCTTTGTAACCTTATATATAGCACCTTGTCACCATATACAATAACAATACAATGTCTGACACGATTTGTTTCTCTAACACATTTTTCTTTTGTAGTAGATACTTCAGTACATAAGTCTTTATTTTCGTCTGATACTTTTGTTGAATATGGCCAATATGTAATATTTTACCGTCATGTCTTATTTGGATTAATACTGAAATTTTGTTAATATGTGGCCGTTTTCGTATTGTCGTTTGAGATTTTCCGTGGCTTGTTAATTCCTCTTCGTCTCTTTTACCTGTAATGAATAATATATATATATATAGACATCTGCCTTTTGTAGTCCTATTTATAATTATTTGTAACAAATCATTTCTAATCACTTAAACAGATAGGTCATCTCTCACATTCAAATAAAATAGTGAGGTTGGTCGCTTGAAATATTTCTAATGTATTATTTGTATCAATTCCAGGATATTGTTATGCTTTTTATCATACAGATGCAATTAAAAGTCAAAAAGCTAATATTAGAATCAACGTTATTATGTCGTATCTGGATAATATAAATTTTGATTAAAAAAACAATGAAAATGATATTGGTGATGTTTATATTGCCAAAGGAATAAAATTTGTTTTAATCGAAATGCAAAAAATAAAGTTACCCTTTGGCAAAAATTGGGTTCAGCGAGCTTGTGCTTTAGAGCAGCAAAGGCCTTTCTGACATATATCTGTTTTGCCACATTTTGCACAGCGTTTTCCATACCAAAATGGATATTGACCATAGTAGTTTCCCCTGTTATACAATATTTCAAATTAAAAAGAAAAACGAATTTGAACACAAACGGCAAGATATACCATAATGAAAAAATACAAAATCTCATGAAAATGTAAACTTCGTGTTAGACATAATTTTATAGGAAGTAACATTGTTACTAATTATACGTTTTGTTAATGCTTTTGGTCTTAGCATTTTTTTCGCCTTGAGTTATAAGTCTCAACTGTTCAGGATATATGGGGACGTCTAACTTTCCTGGTGGAGAATGTGTGTCCCTCAATGCATGATATCAGTACGTAAAATACACTTGGGGTTACCTTTCGTCAGTGACCTTTAAGTGAAATACAATTTTGATTTCTCGTAGCTTTTAATGTACGTTTTGTTTGTTTGTCTATTTTGGTTTGTTTTATTATTTTTTTTGGGGGGGGGGGTATTACGTCACAGCGACGCACTATGCCTCAGGGGACTTCCGTGCATTATTTCAGGCTAGGTGGATATCTTCAACGCATGGAAGAGTCCAAACTTCCTGTCGGGATACGAACTTATAGCGGTGACGGGCATGTGGTTTGAAGTCAACGACCTTAACCACTCGGCCATGTACGAACCCATTTATGTTTTGTTAAAACAAACGTAGTTAAAAGGTGAATAAACTCTCAAAAATTAAAAAAAAATATACATTTAGCATGCACAAAATAATTTATTATAATTTAATTTATTCAGTTAAACTCGTGCATCGTTATAACACTTCAACTTGCACTTTAAGGATGTGTTCAACACAGAAATACCCCAAAGAAATTGATCATACTCAAGGTGGGTTGTAAAGCAAACAAGAAAATGGGCATTCTGTATTGGTGACCCCGACGTCCTCAACTGATTGCAAATTCTATAAGCACAACCGATCTTTGTCGTTTTGGCCCAAACCATCTGAAATAATTATATGATTCAAGAATTATTTGGCTATCTATATAATAACAGATCTGTTGCGGTCAGTATATGTAATTAATGGCTAACCCTTACACTTTTAAACAAATGAAAACAATTGACAGTACATTAGTTTCAAAATAGGGATAAAAGTTAAAGCTATCAAAATATCATATTGCCTTGTCGCATTCCAAAAAAAGAAAAAAAGTGCTTTATCCTATAGCAGAACTTTAAAACACAAAATTGAATTTGTCTACCAATAACATAACACAGCAATAGAACTGTGAAATTTATTATATTATAGCATAAATAGCAATATGTCATGTTAACATAGACCCGTTTTGTCACAATATATTATTACCACCTTTGTGACTATATCGTTATGGCAGATTTATTTTCTATTAGTATCGCCAATTCATAATTAATAAGTTTTATATGAACGTCAAATAGAACTGTTATCAATTTTGATATCAGTTGATAAGACAAGAGTTAATTAAGTAAATTATCATTAACCGTTATGGTTAGATAAGTAAATACGAGCAGAATACGAAATAACTAGGCTATTTAGCAGTTCTCCTGGGAACAAATGGCGTTACAAATGAAGCAAATGTCCGTTATAGTCGATAAATTTCTTTTAAGTTTTGTTTCCTAAAGTTAAACTATTACCATTTATAAAAAAAACATCAGTATTGTATAATAAGAACATAATTAATTTAATCTTAATATACTCCTTCAACACAGCAAACAGTATAAAGTAAAATTATTTCATTATTTCTCTTTTGTTTAATTACACTTAACATTATTTATACAAACATAAAACAAAATAAAATAAATCTGTAATATCTTTTTTGTCAGTTTTAATTTTACCAATTACGAAGTTATTGTGAGCACATAAGTAAGTAAACGTCTTGAAAATGAAGACCGTTTAAGTGTTGTTCTTTTAAATTAACAGATACTGAACATTCCAAGAAAATCAAATGCAGATTGTTGTGATAATGACTTAAATATAATGAAGAAAGTTTTAATTTCTGAAGCTAAAATTTATAAAAGATGTAAATGTAGCATCGACAAAAAAGCAATAGTTTTACACATATTTATACACGATGTTTATCATATATTAACATACACAGTGTCCACTGTATATTAATATACACGGTGTTGAATGTATATGAACATTTATATAGTCAAACCTGAGTATAATGACACGCTGCTCTACAATTTTTAGACCATTTCCACGAGAACTTCTCATCGTACCATCCTTTAATAGCTTTAATGATGACGTCAGAGGGTTTTAGAACACGGTCCTCCATTGATAGGCTAGATTCTCTCCAAGACCACGTTTTTGATGTGCCAAATAACAATTCTCAGACCATGTAGCAGCATCTTGTGCTAACGTGGTATCCCATACCTAGTTTTAACATATTTTACCGTATTGTAAATACTAACCGAGACAAGAAGAGTTTATGTTTAAAATTGTAAATTATTATCAATTAAATAAAATAATAGTTTTCAGAAATATCTGAAAAAAAAAAAAAAATTCTATTTCAGCTCCTGAGAAAAATCTAAATACAATACCACTCGGTGTAAAATTATGTTTCTTTTACCATTCATGTATAAAGCATTATAATCTTACCAACATTTGCATATCGGAAGCATACTCCTTGTTTCTGTATTTATTATGAATTCTTGTTATTCTTGTTATCTGGCTGCATACTTCTTCAATGACACTAACCTTGTCCCCGTTCTTGAGACTAGAACCAGGCATACAAAATGGCTGTTAAACATGGTTCAACTTTTAAAACGATGCCCATTGTTAAATTATAAAATTACATTGTCAAATATAAGAGAAGTTTCAACTAATTAGGCCACTTATGAACATTTTTTTCACATCTTAAAATTCGGAACGAGCCTTTTCTTTTATATGAAACAACAATGTCAGCATCTCTGACTAGGTTACAAAAACATTCAATTTAATTTGTGGTAAAATCAAAGTCATGTAATAATGAGACCGTATGACACGATAATACATGTTTTAACAGGGTATACTCTAATAAGGTTATGTCACTTAGTTCAGATATATTAAAGAATAAGACATTTTCTGTTAAAACTCAAGTTTGATAGAAATATTACATGGCTACTGCTACTGCGTATCTTAATCGACCACGTAAAATATAGGTCAACTTCGCGTGACCTGAAATTAAAACAAATAACCGTAAAACTTTGTGTTTCAAAACAAATTATAATTAATGTCAATTGGTTGTACTTTCTAATGATTTGGAGTCATTGACTTTAACAATTTTGATGTTGATCGCTGAAAACTGGTTTAATAATTGATGATAGCCGTTATACATGGTTTGCGTTTTGAACAAATCAACAAATGGAGGTTTCAATAACGCATATATATACATTTATATTTGTGGCATTATAAATAATTTTAATATCAAGCTCATCAAGTCGAGCAGTTATTAGCATTTGAATTTAATAAACTTACAATCTACCACAAAGCCGATACAGCTGCAAATTGACCTCGGATGACCTTGAAAAATGCATGTTGTGACAAACAATGTGTTGCATTAGTTTAAATTAGGCGCAGTTAAATCAATAAATGTCTAATATTTTCATATTGTCAAATTTAACAACATTTAATATGTGTTATGTTGTATGGATGATAACAAGATTCAAACCATTCTACTATTTATTATAATCATTTAATACATGTTGTAAAGACCAGAGCTCAAGTGAGAATGACCAGGTATCAGAGTGGCATGATCATATATATAACATAGCTTTAATGAATATCATGTAAAGGAAAGTTATCCTATTCACTGTACAACTAAACATGCACAGAGTTATCTGATCTTGATATCCTAACAATATGATAAAGGATTCTCTATTGTTCATTTGAAATACAATTGATCATGGCGGCACATGTCAACATGATCATTACAATACCTGCAATCATAACAAAACATATGTTTAATCGGAATAGATAATGAATGATTGGGCTAATTGGATAGTAATTGATTTTAAGTACAGTGTAATATCCCCTTAAATTCAAGCCAGGCCGAAGAGGATGCTAAACTTTTAGCGTTTCGAACGTTTCAAAAGTGTTTTAAAAATTTTATTATTAGTGAATTTATCAATCATAGAGCTTGGATTATCGCTGATTACCATACTATTGGCATTCTTAATATTAAGTTTAAGCAGCATTTTTCTTGATAATGTATGCAAGACGTTGGTGACTTGCTAGAAAACTGGTTTACGTACTCTCTCTGGTATTTTTTCCTGGTTAAGCCTGTCCTTACGAATCATCATTTACTATCTATTTTAATGTTTGTTTGTTTAAATTACCTGCTATTGACCTCTGAAACATAAAGTGGCGTCCGTGGCCGAGTGGTGAAGGTCGTTGACTTCAATCCTCTTGACCCTCACCGCTGTTGGTTCGATTTTGGATTCTTTCATATAAGGAAGATATTCAGCTAGTTTATAGAACGTCTCGGTTCTACTCAGGTGTCTGTTCGTGCTTGAAATACTGCACGGAAGGCCATTTGAGGTCTTCCTACTCAACTGAAGCTGGAACGTCGCCGTATGACATATACTGTATTGGTGTGAAACAAACAATTAAATCTTAAGCACAAAAGAAATGTATGAATAGTTCTTCTTATTTTATATTTAAGCATACAATTAACCATTTCATCCTATTACGAACAATATTTTCCATTCATGTAACTATAATGTTTTATCCCTCCGTAAATGTCGAGTTAAAGCAATTAAATTTCCACCGTCTGAATAACAGAGCTGCCACAGAAATTATTCAGCTGGTGACATGAGAACTATATTTTAAAAAGGCAATATTAAGACGTTCTGTCGGGTAAAATAAGTAAACAAATTTATTGACACAGTTATACACATGTTTATGATAACTATGGTATCTAATTACTTGTTTTTTGTGTATGCAATAAAAATCTGGAAAAGGGAGATTCCCCGAGAGCAGTAAAACAAGAATATTATATGAAAATTATATGCAGACCCGGTTTGATAATGTCTGTTCATAACAAATTATGTAAAAGTGTAACATGTCTCATGCGGTATCTTCAAAACTAACTAATGTGCTAATAATTCTGATTGACCAGAGAAGTTGAAGTGAAGTATCGGGCAACTTTTTGCAGCTGCCACATGTCATTTGACTATTGCTGATGTGAAGTATAAGCATTTTGGAAAATCAGGCCAATAATTCCTCGAAAGAATTAAAACAACAGTATTGTATGAAGTTGATGTTCATAAAACAGACTAAATAGGAGTCTCGATAAGTCAAAATTTGACCTAAGCTGAGTTAAAATACAAAGATAAGAAGGAAATTTGACGGGATTTTAGAAGTTCTTCGACTAAAGCGGAATTTTGAGTAAAACGATTTTGACTTATTGAGAGTCAACTGTATTTATGCCAAGTAATTTCAAAATCCCTTGAACTATAAAGAAGTTATAGATCGGACACAAAATATATCCTATAACAGACTATGTAAATCTTTGACCTCTTAGTGTGACATTGACCTTGGAGGTAGGGACACAGGTGTAAAGCATGACATATCATCTTATCATTGGCTATTTGTGCCAAGTATTTTCAAAATCCCTTGATCTATGAAGAAGTTACGGACAGGACACAAAATATACCATATAACAGACTGTTATCATTTTACATCTATGATTGACCTTGACCTTGGAGGTTAAGGTGCAGGTGTTGTACTTGACATATCGTTTTCTTATAGTGACTATTTGTGCCTAGTTAGTTTAAAGTCCTGAAGAAGCTCTTGATCGGACACAAAATATACCCTAAAACAGACTATGTTATTTTTTTACCTCTAACTTTGACCTTGAACTTGGAGGTAGTGATGCAGGTGTTGTGCACGACACATTTTCTTATTATAGTGACTATTTGTGGCAAGTATTTACAAAATATTTCGATGTATGAAAAAGTTATGGACCGGACACAAAATATACCCTATAACAGACTATGTTATTCTTTGACCTCCAAGTGTGACCTTGACCTTGGAGGTATGTGACCGGTTGTTGCGCATGACACATCTTCTCATTATTGTGAACAATTGTGGCAAGTATTTACAAAATCCCTTCAAATATAAGAAAGTTATGGAGCGGACACGACAAATATCTCAAATAGACAATGTTGACCTTAAATGAGCAAGTTCGACCTTGACCTTGGAGGCAGGGGTCTGGTTGTTGCGCATGACACATCGTCTTATTATAAAAAACATTTGTGCCAAGTTATTTCAGATTCCTTTGATAAATGACAAAGTTATGGACGGGCACGAAGGTGTGACGGACAGACAGACGGACGTTCTCACAGGACAGTAATTATGTGGCTACTCTATTGTTCTCTCTATTGTTCTTTTTAGCCACACAAAAGAAAATAGACACATAAAAGCATTACGGAATGAATGACATCAAAGAGAAAGAACAGTTACCTATTGTCCCACTAGCCACATAATTACTCTCCTGTGAGTGCGGACAGACAGACAGACGGACGGGAGTCCGGCCGTAATGGAATAAGGGGCCATTTCTTTTATTATTTTCTATTGTTTAATAGAGGACCAATGACCCCTTACTCTATTGTTACGGAATGAACTCTATTGTTCTCTTTTATTCTGTTTACAGTTAGATGGCCCTCTATCCCTAGAGTAGTGCGGACAGACAGACGGACGGAGCCTATTTCTATATTCCCTTTTTTTCTTTGAAAAGGTGGGGGACAATGAAAAATAGGACAATCATTAAAATAGGAAAAACATCTGAAAACAAACCTACCGGTATATTTTGAATCGTGGAATGACACAAAAGTGTCATGTTGAAGGTTCCATAATTTGCAAATGTTTCTTAATTCAAAAATGAACTGTTTTCGTGTTTTAATTTTGAATTCTGCTAAAGGCAGTGCTGGGAGGGATGGACAGTGACTTGCACTTTCCAGTACTCACCATGAACAGGCTCAATCGAACCGAGCGTGCAAAATTTTCAATTTTGTATTTTAGAGTTTTTTAGGGATTCCTTTTTTCTTTAGAAAAAAACTATACTGAAGTGATATACGGGGCAACTTTTTTTATATGCAACATAGCATTTACACTTGTAGCTGTATGATAAACGGTATTAAACATGAGTGAATTTCGAAAATTGATTTATAGACCTACTCGATTTGGTGCCAAAAACGACGTCAACTATGTTAAAAACGATTTAGATTATGCCAAAAACATGTGTTGCATTAGGTTAGGGGAAAAGTATAGTTTTAGCATTTTGGTTAATGAAATAGTTTACGTTAAACGTGATTAGAATTCAGAAAAGAGTAGATCCCACGATAGCAATGAAAGCATAAACAAATATTATCTCTTAAATTGCAGACTGGGCTTTACACAGTCTGTTAACGAGAGGCAAAAGAAAGTGTAACATCTTTCACACCATATAGCGCCGACCAGAGCAATACTCAAATCCCTTCGGATGAGATCCTGTACTGGGATGATACAAGGGATGCCGAGAAGGATACTAGTATGTTTCTCCTGCTCTTCAAGTGTTTCAATTGTAAAATCATTCAGATCTTTATTTCCATTTGGTTTAGTGGCCTCAAATATCCAAACATTTTCTGATATAAATTCTGTTGTTTAAGATGAAGATCCGTGGTAACACAATGGTTAGTGTTTATAAAGATATTGGCAAGTCGTTGCTTTCAACTGAATATCTACCAGATGATTAGAAAGGCCTTTTCAAACAGTGATTCATAAGAAAAAAAATCATACCCGTAAATATAATATATATGTTAATCATACACTAATAATGCGTTTTCATTTGTTAGTTAATGAATATGTTTCCTTGCCCGTGGTAATAATAGTATGTAATTAACTATTAATTAGCTAATAGTAAGCTTGATTTAGTCTTGATTAAATGCAGTTGAAGCTGGTGATCACTACACTTATTTTATTTACTTTGTTTTGGAAAAACACCTTTTTAAACAATATCATACCTTATGCTATGTTTAAGTCGGTCGAACATGTAAATTGTATGACTTTGTTAAAATAGTGTCCACAATGTTTTACCAAGAGACCGTCCATCCAATATCAAGTCGGTAACATTATGCACTGTGTGATTTCTTGATGTTAATGTTATATATCTAAATTCAATTTGTTTAGTTAATTATTCGAAAAATAAAATCATGTTCCTTTACAAAACCACATGCCGCTTACAAGACTTTTTAAACATCGACTAATTTCGAACAAAGTATAAATAATCAAACTATCTTCCAAAATTTTGAATTTCATTCCTTCAGTATTTTAAGTACTATTATTTGTTATTGCAACTACTCAGGAGCAAGTATTTCTCAAAATATTGTATTGTAATCGTAAAGCGGTGTATTCGGTTTTAACAATAACATAATTATATTTTCAATGTTGTTTTGCCTATATAGATCTATTTACAGTTTTTCAAACATGTAAAATGTAGTTACGTAGTGGACATTCAAAATATGGTTCGGAAATAGGAAACATTTTCGCACAATGTAGATTGTCGTTTTTTCTCCGGTGGGAAAGCGTAAAATTATAATGGCTTATAAAATATTGAACAATGTTTTCTCATCCATGTATTTTGTATATATTTTTTTTATCTGATTATGATTTTACAAATAAAAGTCTGCTCGAATTATCTATTTGTATTAGGAATAATAAATTTCGTTCTACATACATACAAAATCGCTTGGTTTAAGATCAATGAAAGACTTTTCTGCGAGCTTGACTGGTGTTGCACATTTGAGAGTGTACGGAAGCTCAATGGTATAAGTGGCATTGTCCAGTGCTTCTCTCAACCACCTTAGGTGACAATCACAATTCCACAAGTTGCCAGCAAGTCTTACATTAGCTGTGCTTGTAAGATGAGAGAAAACCTCAGCTTTCAGATTTTGTAACCTATTAAAACTGAGGTTAATGTCGCTTGATTGCAATGATTTGAATGCATCTTGGGCAATGGTTGTAATCCAGTTATATGACAAATTCAACCATAAAAGTGAAGTCAACCCGACAAACGTATCATTAGTAATTGCAGATAAATTGTTGTGACTCATGTCCAGGTTTTGTAAATCGACCATGCTTTGAAAGGTAAAGTCCTCCAACTGTGCAATCTGAAAATATTATGTAAATATGATTGTTCTGCTTCTTGCTTAAATGCGGAAGGACAATTAGTTTATTAGAGATTTATTTTAGAATATTAATAAACATGCATGAGTTTAGAAACTTGTGTAATAGTATATATAATTTGTTTTTGTATCAATACTTATATTCACTTCGACACTACTCTTAGAATAAAAGTATTGTATCAACTCAAATTTTAATAATGATAGTAATCAAAATATTTTTGGGATCAATAAAATTCAATTTTAAATTAATTTTGGGGAAATAGCTGGAAAAATAAATGTACTCTATTAATAACATGACAAAAAATAGAATTATGAAATGTTGTTCGTTATTATCTTGTATAACAGAGTCTTAACAATAGTGCTGCTAACTTTTGAACATTTAACAACAAAACTGAATGTTACTGTCTGTCTCAATTCAATCATGTAATTTCATGGAGTCAGCATGTTGTCAAGTGCTTGTAAAGCAGGTTTAAGAAATGCTCTTACTTTACTTCAGTTTAGTAAAAGAGTTTTTTGTCTTTAACCTACGCGTTCACTAACAGATGCAAAAACATAATGGTGTTGAAGGTTGTTTATGCTTAAAAATCTGGAAAACAAAATTATCCCTCGAAGACTTAATTACAACAAGAATTACATGAAAATTTGCAGACTTTGTTTGACTAAAGCTGTACATGGGGGTAATGAATGAATGCAACATCCCTCACGTGCCCTAGCACTGGCTTGAGCAAGTACTCAATTCTCAACACTTAAAAGTGCTGGCATCAATGATACCTAAGTACCAGAAAAATATAACAACACTGAGCCGTTCTTATGGGACGTGAGAAAAATTTTGTACTTCACAACAGCAGGTGTCAAGTGCCGTGTGGCAGCCGTAAAAAGTTGCCCCGTACTTCACTTCAGTGTTGTTATATTTTCTGGTCCTTCGGGATCATTGATGCCAACACTATAAAGTGTTGAGAATTGAGTACCGCTCAAGCCGGTGCTAGGGGGCGTGAGGGATGTTGCACTTATACATAATCCCTCATGTACAGACTCAATCAAACCGAGTCTGCAATTCTTATGTTATTTTGTTGTGATTAATGCTTCCGAGGGATCACTTTGTTTCCAGAATTTTTTACACATTCCATCACATGTAATTAAATGAGAAAACAAACGAGAACAAAGATCAACAAGGCAAAGGCAACCTTCACAGGACGCAGCCCCCCAACACCTCAGCTTCAACATCAGGGCATCCAGAAGGCACCGAAACAAATCGGTAGATGAATCAAGGGTGGCGAAAGGAGGGGAGGGGCATGAAATAAGTGAAATGATAAAAACTAAAAGGGGCCCATAAGGGACAAGGGACAACTGCTTCTTTTCATTGCTCTCGAGAGATCTCCCTTCTGTCCGATTTGTTTGTTTATTTGTATGCAGACACAATTTTGTCTTGGGTACATGACATACGAAGGGCTTTATCTAGTGTTAGAAGAACTTGTAACCTAACCAATATATTACATGTTGTTGTAATTTTTATATAGGTTATTAGGTGTATTTGAAGCAATAAAATAAAATAAGTTTAATCAAGAGGATTCTTTTTAATATTTACCTTGTTTTGGTCTAGTTTGAGATCATGTAAAGAGACGAGTTGTCTAAATGCATCTTTATCCACAACACTGATGTTATTACTACTCATATGTAATTCATACGCTCCTGTTAACCCAGCTAATGTGTTTCCCGTTAATTTATTGATGTTATTGTAACTCATATCCAACGAGATTTGTTTTTTGTCTAACCCATCAAACGCAAAGTCTTCAACATTTGTGATCTGAAATAAACGTTGGTAATATATTCAGCTCTGGTATAAACATAACATTTGTAGACTGATGTTTGTGGAGACCTTGGTATGAGCAAGGGAAAATTCTAATAATTTTAAAAAATAACTCCATAGTCGTTTGCGTTTTCGTTAAGTTTCTACTCCTTTGTAAAATATCGTTCTTTGTAAAATCTTAGTAATCAAATGACTAGCCGTGCCATTTTATAATTTAATAATTTTCAAAAACCTCAATTCAGTAAGAAAAAAAGACAGATAACGATATTTTAATTTATGGTTTCTATGTTTGTTGGTTTGTTTTGCAATAGTATTTTATGCATGATTTTATATATAAATATATATAACAATGACGACATTTTCACATGAACAGTAATTTTCATACCATATTTTTGTTGAAGATACAAGTATATCAGATTCGGCGTAGATTTGAAGTCATAAGCTCTAAGCTCAAAAATGGCATTGCCGCTGTAATCGATACTTGTAACAGAACTTGGAAGATTGGACACTACGTGTTTCAATTCATTATCAAAAAATGAAACAGAGTCAAGTGCTTGGTTTTTCTTGAATACGTCCAAAGGAAAACTATCTTCGTTTAGATTGTTGTCATTGAACTGAAGTAATGAAAGAGATGGTATATCATCCAACACACCAGCTTCTAATTTCGTTAACATACAGTCCGACAAAAATAACGAATCTAAGTTTGGATAGTTTCTAAAGCTACCAGACTTTTAGAGTGCCTAGATTGTTTTCTGCTACGCTAAGCGTACTAAATATAAGGTGGTAACAGTTGTGGGATAGAAGTTGAAACGCCGCCATCGACGACTATTTCATTCAGGAGTGGTAAGTTCAGGGTCTTTAGATTGTAATTCTCCTCATTTGTATTTATTTCCTGAAAGGCGACCTTTTTGTAATTTTGAAGAGCTTTTCCAGTGGCTGAATAGGAATGTGGGATATATTACACCCACTTAAATCTAGGTAATTGTGTCCTCAGGAATATTTGATGGAACATCAGTGAGGTTATAACAATCTAACTTCCTTTGCGCCAAAGATAGTTTCACATTCACATGAGAACAGGACACGTGATATTTTTGGTAACAGCTTGCACGATGAACGGACAAAGCATGTATAGAAAACAGGAAAATCGTCTAAAAGACATAGTTCTGAAAAGATAAAAACAGACAATTTGTTAAAATAAATGAAATTTTTTTTTAAATGGTTTAAGTCACACCTACACTTTAAAGGACATATGGCGACTTTTCAGCTTTACCGGTTAAGGGAGACATCATGTGCCCCTCCTTACATTATTTAAGGCATAAGCAGGCACCCGAGTAGAGCCACCGACGTTCCATAAGCTAGCTGGATAGCTTCCTCACATAAAAAAATCCGAAGTCCCTGGTAAGATTTGAACCCACAGGTGTGGGGTCAGCGGTTCGAAGACAACAATCTTTAACTCTAGGCCACGGATCCCCATCCCATAAAATAGTCTACATTTTTGTGTGTTTTAGTTTCAAACTATTTGTAATTTTCAGGTCAGCGGCTTCGAGAGATATTTTTCAAATGATGAAAAGGTGGTATAGAGCCGTGTTACCTTTAAAGTAACATATCTTATGATCTTTTTCATTTATAGTCTGAATCAAATAATACTGTTATAATAATAAAAAAAAGAAAGAAATAGTTAAAAAGTATACTTGCATGTGATAGATTAGCTAAATTTTGGTAGTTGAATTATCCACTAAACAGTTAAAACAACAACTTTATATCAGTTTAGTGTTTCAAACTTGCGGAATGAAAACCTTTTGCTTGACATTCAAAGAATAAGCCTGAAAATTCCAACGTAACTATTTATATGAATAGGAGAAAACTTGCCGGGTTATTAATGTATGAACTTAAACAATTTATACCTTTGTCAACGAAAAACCCGAAGCCTCATACCAATGAATCTAAGAACGCATATCATCAAAATAATGTACGCTGATAACAACTTATATACAAAAACAAAGTGTTTTATTACCAAAACAAAATATGGAATTCATGCACTCCGCCGTTATTTTGTTTAAAATCTAAAAAAAATATATGTTTATAATTAACTTCTGTTGCAGATGAAATAAAATGTTTCTAATATTTTGGAGTGGTTAAAAACTACCTTTTCTGAAGTTCTAGCCAAAACAAATGTAAAAAATGTGATAAGAGATCAAAACAGATTGCATTCGTAAATATTTTTGTATATAATTTCTGAGCTGAATGAAAGTAAATAAATAAATGAATGTCAATTTACAAATAAATAAATAAATAAATAAATAAATAAATAAATAAATGAATGAATGAATGAATAAATAAATAAATAAATGAATCAATGAATAAATTAATATAAATAAATTAATAAATAAATACATAACTTTTTTAATAAAAATGTAAATAGATAAATAAATAATAAATAAATTTCTATTTATCATTCGTGAATCTAACACTATTATTGTGTTAATTAAAACATGTGTCTAATAGGTGAAAATTGGCTCTGCCTTCCAAACTAGTACAATATATTACATAATTTCCATGTTGTGCTATTTTACACAAGCATAGTCATAGGTTTGAACCTGATATATGAAACACAAACACAAAAAAACTGTCATTCAATATCGTTACAAACATTGAACAGGTCTTATGTTCATTTCAGAAGACATTCTTAACCTATACCTTGTTGGAACTGAAAATGTTAAGCCTTTGTCACTAGTATAGAATCAGACTAGCAAGCATATCGTGAGTGTTAACAGGCTCAGTTCCAATATTGACTTCTTGTATAAATATTCAGCAGGTCAAGGGTTAACAATATTTTTTTTTTATTTCAGTGAACCATAGTAACCGTGAGTGACAGATATAAATAATAGACAGGGAGAAGAGAAATAAAATGTAACAGTATAGTAAAGCCGTATAATTATGTTTCAATAAGTATATGCTATAAAACCGGCGATAATGTCTTGATTGTATATATATTATGCAAAACGTTATCCATTAAAGAGGTAAAGATGTCCTTAAAAAATGACTTCACACAATTTTCTTTATCATTAAATTTAATAATTATATATCTTGACATAGTCTCTCATATTTCATTATTGAATGGATTCTTTTATATTTTAAATGGCTTGACTTAAAAAATGAGGTTGTAGTTATTGTAGCTGTTGTCAAAACTTTATGTAAACTATTACTCTGAAGAATGTAGTCAAAATACACGTCATTTCACATAATGTGTGTAATGCAGATTTAACAATGACCTTCTGTATGTTATATTACCATCAAAATAAAGTATTGTGAGACATAACAAAACGCCCTCGAAAACGTTATATAATAGAAAGAGCATCGAAACTCGAGGCTATCTGATCTGTTCCTCAGTGTTTTGATGTTTTTCTCTTTTATTTCATAGGCAAAAAGTAAAACACGTTCCATGTTGTCACAATAATGTTGAAACCCGAGAAAAAGAAACCAATGAACGAGGTTCTGAATACGATATTTCTATTACTAACCTTTTATCTGTTGTCAAATAAGTAAACATCAGAAAAAATGTGCCAATGCTCTGGAGTGCGGGTAACTTTATCCGTATTCCAGCTAACACATTGTCCATATGTATGATTTACTATATTTTATAAAAATATTCATATCCTTTATTGTAAAATAGTTATTCGTTAAGGACAGTTGACTTAAAATTACCCCGCCCCACAACCCCCAACAAAACAACAACAAACAAACAGACAAAGAAAAAATATTTGAGCTATTATAATGTCGAGGGTGAATGTCCATGGTAAAAAGATAGCTTTACACGGGATGTATCGGAAATTGTATGAAACAGAGGAAAACATAATCCCCGAAGAACGGCAAACACGGCAACATTTAAAACAATGCAGGCTCAGTTTGCCTTGTGCTCTACCCTGTTTTATTGGTGGTTCTGCTTGGCTCCTTGCCGCTAGTCCTTTGTTGCTTGGTCATGTGGGGATTGCGTTCATTTTGTTCATCATTTTTTATTATGTCTGTTCATGGACGGTACTGGAATTTGTTCTTAAGAGATAGAGTAAAGTGTAGCGTCACTTACGTTCCGTGGCACCTGGATTAAGGTAGTACACCCCTAATGACACTATGAGAATATGTAAAATTGACATCATAGGACAGTTATATGTCTAAATGTCACCTGTATGCAAAATTTAAACAATATTTACCATGTGGTTTATGAGTTATGGGAATTTTTCTGAACTAAAACTTTGCCATTAGAAGGGCTTTTTTCAGAAATGAGGAAACTCTAAATAATCTGTAATAACATCGTTATGAAAAATGTTTTCCTATTGCTCATTGTTAAGAAACAAATAATGACATTCAGGTAGCAAATTAAACGAGCAAAATGATTGTTCCTAAACGAAATGTTTTAAATATGTAAAAAAAAATTGTAACCCTACCCCACCCCCTTTAAACACTTATTTGACCATTTCCCTACGTAAAAAGCCTTATTTGAAATATCCCAAAAGTTTTCCACAATAAGGGGCTGTTTTCAAAGTTTGCCTAAATCTTCTTTAATGTATATTGGTTGGGCTGGCAAAATATAAAATACTTTTACCGTGTAGTATTTATTTTATTAAACTTTAAAAATATCTGGTATCATATTTGCTATTAAATTTGGCATTTTTTAGCAAATAAATACCTACAATAATTATATAATTAAAATTAAACACTTTTTTTCTTCCATTTGGGATCTGAGAAATTCATAAAAAATATTAAAAAGAAAAAAAAGAAAGAAAAAAAGTTGCCCCTTCTGGGGTTTGAACCCACACCCCTCAGTTTCAATACACTTGACAGTGATTCGAGCCTATTTAAATACTCTTCAAAGTGGAGAATGTGCATTAGGGGTGTACTACCTTAACGTTATCAAAACAGCAACACAGTGAAGTATTAGAATGAATTATCAAAATATAAAAAATATAACTATACTG